CCAGTCTGCAACCAACTTATCCTGTCACAGCTGTAGTGAGCACCCTAACAGCATTTAAGTACTCCACCCATGCCTGCAGGTTGTGGCTGTTTTTGTCCGTGAGAGACGGAGGAGGGGAAGGGCCCCCTGAGGATAGGTAAGTAGTGCCTCCAACAGGGGGGCGTGTGTGTGTGTGTGTGTGTGTGTGTGTGCGCGCGCGCGCGCGCGAGTGGCTCTGAATAGCGATCCAAGTCACGGAACCAAATATGTTGTGGGTCACATCTGCTCTCCTGCTCTCCTTGGTTCTTGTTTAAAATGCACACAGCAAAGCCCACAGGGGAGCAAAACTGCAGTGGAAATTTTATTTTAATGAGATTATGATGAGGTGAGGTTTGAGCGGTTCTTTCCCCAAACCTTATCTACCCCCTCCCCGCTGCTCAAGTCTATCTTTCTACCTAACAGAAGAATCCTCAACAGGAAGGAATCATCAATTACAGGCCCCAAATGGGAAAAAAGTACATTGCATCTCCTACAAGAAACTCAGCCAATGAGACCTTCATCATCCAAACTCTTGCTTTTCTTCAATGACTTTCATTCAAAACAACCAGTCCCAACTTCCTCCTTTTCCACAAAATAAAGGTCCTCTGTTTTGTTTGTTGGGTATGCCTATGGTTTTTCCATATCTGTGTGTCCCGAATTGCAATTCTCTGCTGTTCCTGAGTAAACCCATTCTGCTGGTAAAATAATTGACTCTTTCTTTCTTTCTTTTTTTCAGGTTAACAAGACCTAAAATAGGCAAAATAACTTTGCAAAAGAAAAAGTTGGAGAACAAACATGACCTGATTTGAAGAATGATTATAATAATCAGTAGTCAAGAGTATGGTAGTAGTGCAGAAACAGATGATTAAATCAGGACAAAAAAAGAGTTCAGAAATGTACCTCACACACAGACAACAGATTTTTAGAAAAGGTTCAAAGGCAGTTCATTTGAGAAATGATAATCTTTTCAAAAAATGGTGTTGGGACAACTGGCTATCAATATATATTTTTTCATTTGTTATCATTAATATACATTCACATGAGCAACACTGTGGTTACTAGATTCCTCCCATTATCAAGTCCCCCCCACATACCCCATCACACTGTCCATGAGTGTAGTAAGATGCTTTAGAATCACTATTTGTCTTCCTGTGCTATACAGCCTTCCCCGTGGCCCCCTGTCCACGTTGTGTGTGCTAATCCTAATGCCCATTTTCCCCCTTATCCCTCCCTTCCCACCCATCCTCCCCAGTCCCCTTCCCTTTGGTAACTGTTAGTCCATTCTTGGGTTCTGTGATTCTGCTGCCATTTTGTCCCTTCAGTTTTTGCTTTGTTCTTATGCTCCACAGATGAGTGAAATCATTTGGCACTTGTCCTTCTCTGCCTGGCTTATTTCACTGAGCATACTACCCTCTAGCTCCATCCATGCTGTTGCAAATGGTAGGATTTGTTTTCTACTTATGGCTGAATAGTATTCCATTGTGTATATGTACCACATCTTTTTTATATATTCATCTACTGATGAACACTTAGGTTGCTTCCATTTCTTGGCTATTGTAAATAGTGTTGCAATAAACAAGGGATGCATCTGTCTTTTTTAAACTGGGATCCTGCATTCTTAGGGTAAATTCCTAGGAGTGGAATTCCTGGGTCAAATGGTGTTTCTATTTTTAGTTTTTTGAGGAACCTCCATACTGCTTTCCACAATGGCTGAATTAGTTTACATTCCCACCAGCAGTATAGGAGGGTTCCCCTATCTCCGCATCCTTGCCAGCACTTGCTGTTGCTAGTCTTTTCTATGTTGGCCACCACCCTAACTGGTGTAAGGTAGTATCTCATTGTGGTTTTAATTTGCATTTCCCTGATAATTAGCAATGTGGAGCAACTTTTCATGTGCCTGTTGGCCATCTGAATTTCTTCTTTGGAGAAGTGTCTGTTCATATCCTCCGCCCATTTTTTAATAGGGTTATTTGCTTTTTGTGTTGACACATGTGAGCTCTTTATATATTTTAGATGTTAACCCTTTATCAGATCTCTCATTTACAAATATATTCTCTCATACTGTAGGATGCCTTTTTGTTCTGCTGATGGTGTCTTTTGCTGCACAGAAGCTTTTTAGCATGATGTAGTCCCATTTGTTCATTTTTTATCTTCTTTCCCTTGCCTGAGGAGATGCGCTCAGGAAAAAGTTTCTCATGTTTATATTCAGGAGATTTTTGCCTATGTTGTCTTCTAAGTGTTTTATGTTTTCATGGCTTACATTCAGGCCTTTGATCCATTTCGAATCTACTTTTGTGTGTGGGGATAGACAATAATCCAGTTTCATCCTCTTGCATGTAGCTGTCCAGTTTTGCCAACACCAATTGTTGAAGAGGCTGTCATTTCCCCGTTGTATATCCATGGCTTCTTTATTGTATATTAATTGTGGCTATTGATATTTAAAAACAAAAACTTTAACTTTCTAGCCTTGCAATCTAATGGTATCTTGTTATATTATTTTGGCTTTTTCAGGTTACTGGTAAATTGAGTATCTCTTTGTATGCTTCTCAAGTACGTGGGTTTCTCTTCTGCCTATTCTTTTGCCCATTTGTCTACTGAATTTTCTCTTTTCTTTCTCATTGATTTATAGACATTCCTTTTCATTTTAAATTAATCCATTTGCTCTTTGACATTGCAAATATTTCCTCCTAGTGGTCTGTCTCCTCCCTTTGTTAACTAGAATTTTTTCTGGTGATCCAGAATTAGTTTCAAGGACATAAAACTGAGGACTCATATACCAAATACCACACATTCTATAGAAAACTACAAACGATCAGAGTTATTCAGATTGTCTCAAGTTTTTGGCTAGTATGAATAAAGCTGCCATGAATATTTGCACACAGTTTACATACAGTGAATGAAGAGTTTCATTTCAGCTGACCAATGGTTAAGATTCAATCATTCATTATTTGACAGTATTACATTCCAATCTATTCTTTTCCCAACAAATGTATTTATCATTAAATTTCATATGTGATCAACTAAAACTATTTCTCTCTCAAAGAGATTATAGTTATTAAACTGAAACTTTTGTTTAGCTTCAGCACCACTTATTTGAGAACTGCACCCATTAGTCAGTGGCACAAGGGACTTCAGCCTTAGACACAAGGGACCTCTCTGCTCAAGTAGGTAAGTTTTTGAATACTGGAGGAAATACTGCCTCAGTATACTGAATGTGCTATTCACAATGTAATGACTACAGACACAACACACTTTTACATTTAATCTTCTCAGGATTTTCTCTGTCATTCCCATAAGTCTAGACAATCAACAAAACAACCAATCAAGCCCTGATTTGCAGCATCTGCCAATATCCATGGTGTAAATACTTCTGCTATTGCTGCTGCCAGGGGGACATCAATGCAGGTGGGTGGGATGAGGTGAGTGAGCAGCAATGCGATGTTACACGGCGTCCCCACTGTTCAGATATAAGTAACGTCTACAGTGGGTAACTGAAAGGAGTCAAATGTCTTGTAAAAGGTAAAATAGTAAAATTAATACAATGAAGTTTAGCTTTTCAGTAATGGCTGTGGTTAATGACAACCTTGTAAAATTCCTGAAAATTTAAGAATTGTCTCTTGAAAGACTGTGAGCTGGCTGTGGCACACCACTGTGGGAGGGTAACTGGTGCAGTCACCTGCAGAGGCTCTAAGTTTACCAGGGCGCTCTTTGGTCACTATCCCTCTTTGGAGCAGGTGCCTCCTAGACACTCACACACAGTCCTGCAGGGACTCATGCAAGGGTCCCCACTGCAGATTATCTATGGGGTGGGCAAGTGGAAGCAATGTGAGGGTTTAATCCTAGGGGAATGGAAAGCATTTATTATGGTGCACACAAGATCTGGCACAATTTCCTCCTTGTCTGCTGAACATACACACACACACATAACAACACTTTGTCAAAGACACTTGAGGACATATTCCAAACACACTATATAGTAGTGAGGTACTTGGCGAGAGAAGTGAGCTGTAGGATTTGATCTGGGGTCACTTGACCTCTCCATAGCCCAGGTGCAGAAAGGTGAGGCAGTGGGTACTCCTGCCACCCAGCGGTCCCCATGACTGGAAGGAAGGAGGCTTCAGGCTCTGTGGGCAGAGGGGTAGGTCTGAAGGGGAGATCTGGGCCCAGAAACTCTCAGGAGGATGAGGTCCAGGCTGTGACGGGGGAGGGTCAGAGGCACGCGTTGGAAAGGCGAGGAAAGGGGAGTTACCCTCCTGAGACACTAAGGTGCCCCCTGTGCCTGCGGCCTCTTTCACCTCGGCTCAGTGTCCCCTCCTCGGAGAGGTTCCCCTGGCAGTGTCATGGCAGATAAGTTCCCACTCTTCTGGGCTTATGGCCATGCTCGGGAGTGCCTCTGAGTTTGCTGTCTCTGTCCGCCAGAAACCTGTTCCTGGCTCTGGCGTTGCGACAGGGACCGTCGGAGGCGGGCCAGAAAGCTGGCCTGGAGGAAAGGAGGGGGGCCGGGGCCAGAGAGAACTCACCTTTTGGCTGAAGCCCAGATTTGGGGCATTCCTTTAGTATGCCCAGGGCTGGCTGGAGCCCGGGGGTGATGAGAACCCCTCCCAGGCAGGACTGGCTTCCTTTCAAAGTGAGCCGACCGCTGATACCCCCTCTGCGTCTGGAAAGGGCAGGCTGAAGCCTGGCAGGTGTGGGTGTCAAGACAGGGCCCAGGAAGCCCCGCTACGCCGCCCGAGGTCGTGGAGCAGCTGCAGGCAGAGCCACGCAGCCCTTCCTTGAGTCTGCCGCCGGGCAAGCCGCCAGCGCTGGGCGCCGGTTTGGCCACAGGTCGGCGGGCCGGGTTCGAGGACGCCTGCCCAGTGCCCTTCGGGCCTGCCAGGCTTCGACAGCCCGCACCGCCCTCCAGCGCGCGGCTCCTCCCCTGCGCGGCCCCGGCCCGGCCCACGCGCAGGCCGGAAGCGCGGCTTGGGTCTGATGCGCTCCAGACTGGATCCCCAGCACCCGGGACGGGGCCGGACGCCCACTAGAGCTCGGTGCGCGCACGGGAGCCGAGCGAGTGACTGAGAGCCTGACCCCGCTCGGAGCGCCCCTAAGTGGGCCGGTGTCTGCGCGGCGCCCTCGGAAGCAGACGGGAAGCCGCATGAAGGGGGCCGGCAGCCCCCACACCGACGGCCCCGCGACGAGCGCGCCGCGCCTCAAACGTCATCTTCCGAAGCCGCCTCTGCGACGTGACGGCGGCCGGAGCGGCCTCCTGGGGTTAGCCACGAAGCGCCTCGCCGAGGCCCCGCCCCTCGGGTGACGTCACCTCGGCCCGCCGGGCGGGCGCCGCCATGTTGGGGGTCCTCGCCGCGGACGCGTAGCTGTCCTCATAAGATGCCGGCTCTGCGGCGCCCGGCTTTCTCCCCCCAAGATGGCGTCCATGCGGGAGAGCGACACGGGTCTATGGCTGCACAACAAGCTCGGCGCCACGGACGAGCTGTGGGCGCCGCCCAGCATCGCGTCCCTGCTCACGGCAGCGGTCATCGACAACATCCGCCTCTGCTTCCACGGCCTCTCGTCGGCCGTGAAGCTCAAGCTGCTGCTCGGGACCCTGCACCTCCCGCGCCGCACGGTGGACGAGGTGAGGCAGCGGCGGGCGGCGGTGCGGGCGCAGGCCGGCCGCGCCCCTCGGGCTGCTTCCCTGTGAGCCGAGCCCCGGCCCCCCGCCCCCGCCCCACGGCGCTCCCCCGACCGTCCCGGCCCCCGCTCCGCCCGCACGCGTCTCCCCGCTTCCCTCCGCACCCCTCGCCCCGTTCCTGCCGAGGAAGGCGGGGCGCCGCCGGGGGCAGGTCGGGAAGCGGGCGGCGCGGCGGCGGGCGCCTGGGGCTCGGGGGCGCGGGGGGCCCGAGGGCCACGCTGGCTCCTCGGCCGGCTCGTCCCAGGCTGGGGTGGCTCCCCGGCCGCTGCGCCCCGGGCCTTGCAGCCCTGATCGACGGCCGTCTGCCCGCCTCGGCCACCCTGCTCTTCGGTCTTCTCTGCACGCTGAGGTTTTTATATCTTTCTGGTTAGTGGTTATGTGAGATTGGTTTTCTTTTTTTTTTTTCAGTAGAGGTATGTTGTGTTTCCTTGCAAAGTAAACAGTAGTTTTTCAAAATACTAAGCGCCATAGTTAAACATTCCCCAACTACTGTTGCAGCTGCTGTTACTATAATGATAATTTTTTATTGTGAGATATGTACAACACCGCACAGTTGTTCATTTCAATGAAAAATAAAGCAAGGCGACCCACGTCTGCAATCCCGACGGCGCTAGGCCCGCAGGGGCGGCCGCCCCCCACCGCCTTCGCGCCCCTCTCCCCGCCTTGGGGTCGTTTCATGGCCGATCTTGTAGCTCATCAGCTCCGCGGGCATTGCCCAGCGGGTTTTGGTACCCGGTGCGAGGCTGACGCCTCGTTGCTGTGGCGTGTCCGCCCTGGCGGACACCCTGGCAGCGGCTCCCCCTCTCCGCGGGCTGCCGGGCGCCGTCCGGCCGAGCGCGCAGCGGTCTCCGTGCGCTCGCGGCGCCGCAGCTGGGTTGTGGCCGGCCTTTGGCTGCGGTGCAGGGTGCTGCCGCCGCCGCCACCGTGTGTGTGATGGGGTGTCTGTAAGCGCACATTTCTCTAGGGTGTGCTATCTAGGAGTGGAACTGTGGGGGTCATGGCATTACCCCAAATTGTTTTTCAAAATGGTTGTATCAAATTAAACACGTCTCCAAAACCCGCCAGCCGGGTGGGCGTGTAGAGCTCTTGGAGGGTTTTTGTTTCCAAAGTACCTGCACCCTTTTTGTTTTATTAGGATACAGTTGATATACAACATAATATTAGTTTCAGATGACCAGCATGATTCAACATTTTACATATTGTCAAGTGATCACTACAGTAAAGTCCAGTTAATATCCGTCACCACATAGAGCTACAAAATTCTTTTTCTTGTGATGAGAACTTTTTTTTTTTTTGAGAGGGCATCTCTCATATTGTTGTAACAACAGGGGACTCAATGCACAATCATTAATCAACCCCAAGCCTAATTCTGATGAGAACTTTTAAAACTTACTCCTAGCAACTTTTAAATATGCAATGCAGTATTACTAACGATAGTCACTATGCAATACATTATTCCAATGATGTTAAGTGGTTTTAATTTGTATTTGCCTCAGTAACTAACGTGGGTGAATGTCTTTTCATGTGGTATTCACTACTTGATTTTCTTTTTTGTAACTGTCCAAATTTTTTTTTTCATTGCTTGTTAGGATATTTAAAAAAATAAGTGCTGGAGAGCAGTCCTTTTTCAGTTGTATATGTTACAAATACCTTCCAGTTATGGCTTGATTTGGCTTTCTTCGTGGAGTCCTTGACGCCTAGAAGCTCTTCGCTGTGACTAGACCGCTGCTCTCATCTCACCCGCCCCTCCGGCGGGGCTGAGGGTGTCTCGTTTGGGACCTGCCCTCCTGCCTTAGTGGGGTGGGGCGCTACCTGTCGTCTTGGCAGAGGAGTACAGCTTCTGCTTTAACGTTTGACTCCTCAGTCTACCTGGAATTAATAATTGTGTGAAGCTGGGAGTCCAGTTATTTTCCATATGAATGTCCAGTTAGTCCAGCACCATTTAGTGAAACTGTTGTCTTTTCCCACTGATGAGCGCTGTCATTTCCACTATGGTTTTGTCCTGGCTTCTGTGCTGTTTTTGTTTCCAAAGTACCTGCACCCTTTCAAAGTACCTAGTTCCATCAGGCTATCAGTGTATCGCTGTGCCAGTGACCCGCGGAGCCCTAGCGTTACACGTAATGAGCCTTGGCAGCCAGCAGAGCCGAGCCCCTTGTTCTGCAGGGGTGCGTGTGTTTGGCTATTCTTGGCCCTTTGCACTTCCATGTGCGCCTCATCTTCACTTCTCAGGTCACACAGACGCAGCCTACATTCAGTGCGGTTGTGATGAAGACTGAGTTGAATTTTAGTTTATTCTGGGGTGAAGTCATCTTAATAGTATTGAATCTTGTAAGTTGTTAAATACAGGTGTATCTCTCTATTTAGATCTTTAATATTTGTTACAAAGTTTTATGATTTTCTCCATAGAGGCGTTTCATCTTCTGTCAGATACATTCTTAAGTATTTTGTATTTTTTTGTGTTGTAGTAATATGTTAAAATTTTATTTTCTTTTTAGAATAGTTTGTGAATAGTATCTGTGCTAATTAATGTCTTACAAATTGCAGTAATTTTCCTGTAGACTATTTTTCTGTGTACTTATTGTTTTGTTTCTCTTCCCAATTACCTTTTTTTTCTTGCCTTACTACACTCAGCAAGGTACATTGTGTTGTTTCTGATCACATAGAGAAAACTTTTAATATTTTGCCAGTAAGTATTGTTTCCTGTTATTTCTGATAGATACCTTGTATTTGGTTAAGGAAATTCTCTTCTAGTCCTAGATTTTTAAAAATTTATTTTAATTATGAATGAGTTTTGTTAACTCATTCAGCTGTATTTAGATATAATTTACATACCATCCAATTCACTCATTTAAAATTCAGTGGTTTTTAGTATATTTGGAGTTATGTAGCCATCATCCTAGTCAATTTTAGAACATTTTCATCAGCCCAAAAATAAACCCAGTACCCATTAGCATCCGCCACATCCCTGCTCAGCCCCCTAGGCAACCACTTATCTACTTTCTGAGTCTAAGGATTTACCTCTTCAGGACAGTCCTTATAAATGAAATCGAACAATATGTGATCTTTTGTGACTGTCTCACTTAGTGTCATAGTTTCAAGGTTCATCCATGTTATAGCATGTGTCAGAATGCTATGCCATTATATTGATAGACCACATTTTATTCACCGATTATTCATCAGTTGATTGGCATTTGGGTTGTTTCCATTTTTTTTAGCTATTGTGAATAATGCTGCTGTGAAGATTCATGACAAGTTTTTTATGGACACATTTTCTATGTGGACATAAGTTTTCACTTCCAGGTATATACTAGGAGAGGAATATACTTGGGTCATATTGGACTCTTTAATATTTTGAGGAACTGACAAACTTTTCTGCAGGGGCTGCAACAGTTTACATTTTACACCAGTGATTTTTGAGTACTCCAGTTTCTCACATCCATGCCAACCCTTTATTATCTTTTTGATACAGCCATCCTAGAAGGTGTGAACATGAATGAATTTTGAACTTTAGTAAATGCTTAAAATACCTATTGATATATAGTTTGCCATATCAATAGAATAGCATTAGTTGTACACCAAGCTTGAGTCCCTGAGGTAAGCTTAACTTGGTCATTTTATATTATTGGACTGTATTGTCCTACTATTTTGTATAGGAATTTTGTATCTACGTTCATGAGTGAGATTTATCTCTAATTTTGCTTTTCCAAACTGTCTTTATCAAATCTTAGTATTGAAGTTATGCTACCCTAATATAAGGTGTTGTAGCACGTCCTCTACTTTTCCTATTCTTTGGAAAGTTTAATAATAGAATTGTTTCTTCCTATGTTTAGTAGAACTTAGTAATGAAGCCATTTGGGGGACCTAGATTTTCTTTGTCTGAGGATTTTTTAGTAATTTTGTTTTTTATGTTCTTAAAATAAAGATGTTACATTTTTCTAAGGATTTGGCCATTTCTACTAGAATTTCAAATTTATTAGCATAAAGTTGTTAATTATACCTGTTTTTAAGCATCAGAAGCATATGCAGTGATGTTCCTTTTTCCTTTTTCTTTTTCTTGATCATCTTACCAGGTGTTTGTCAGTCTTATAAGACTTTTCAAAGTAACAACTTTTGGCTGTGTTGATATTCTCCATTATGTGTTTGTTTTCTGTTTCATTCATTTTTGCATGTTCATTATTTTCCTCCTACTTTCTTTGTGTTTGTTTTGTTGCTTTTTTCCTAATCTCTTAAGATGGGTGCCAACCTCATTTTTCAGCCTTCTTTTCTAAAATATACATATAAAGTCATAAGTTTTCTCCTGATCACAGCTCTAGCTGACTCATATAAGTTCTGATAGTATTTTCACGACCCAGTAATAATATTTCTAGTTTCATTGATGATTTCCTCACTGACCCCTGTGTAATTTAGAAATGTTTCTTAATTTCTATACATTGGAAGGGGAAAGGCTTTAGTTACATTTTTATTAATGATTTCTAGCTGTGCTGTTTGTCAGAGAATATAGTCTATATTATTCCAGTCATTTGAAATTAAAGATTTGCTTAATGGCAAAGTATATGGTCAGTTTTTTGTAAACATTTTGAGAGTGAACTTGAAAAGCACATTTGTTGTCTGGTTTTGAGATCCATTGCCCAATATGTTTACTAGGCAAATTGTTTAACCATGTTATGCAGGACTACACATCAAAAATAAATAAAATAAAAAACTTTTATCAGTGACTGAAAGAAGGGGGCATGTTGATCTCTATTATGATTATTGATTTGTCTATTCCTTATAGTTTAATCAACTTTGTTTTATATGTTTTGAGACTGTGTTATTAGATGTATGCAAGTTTATACTGTTACAGTTGCCTGGTGAACTGAACCATAGTTTTATATAGTGATCTCTGTATCTGGTAATGTTTTGCCCTTAAAGTCTGTTTTTGTTTACCCTAGGGTAGGTATACC